TTTTTTTTTTTCTTTTATGACAAAATTAATTTCAGTCTGTCGGTTTATATATGGCTTTACCTACGTTGATTAATGCCTGATCGTTTAGTATTTATAATATAATGCATCTTCTCTGTCTGCGTTTTTGAGGTTCGGGTCTTAAAACAGCACGAACTGCTTCATCAAATACTTGTTTCAGGCCACGTTGTGTTAATGCAGAACATTCCATATATTTTATTGCGCGAATCTGTAAATTTCATAACAGTTACAATATGTTATACACCACATATTTCATTCTATCTTTTATATTCCATTATATTACTCAATACTATTCTGACCTTATTTGCCAATTTTTGTCCCTGTTCACGTTTTATAGCGCTAAGGCCTTGTTCAGCTAAGGTAGTAAGCGTCTCACGGTCATCTCTTAAGTCTATTTTAGTTCCAACAAGTATCATCGGAGCATCTGGACAATGATGTTTTATCTCTGGATACCACTTACTGGTAACATTTTCAAAAGATGATGGACTTGTTACTGAGAAACAAATAAGAAAGACATCAGTCTGTGGATATGAAAGTGGACGAAGCCTATCGTAATCTTCTTGTCCTGCAGTATCCCAAAGTCCTAAACTAACAGGTATTCCATCCACAACCATGGGTGCTGAGTAATTGTCAAATCTGTATAATAATAAAAAATAATAATAATAATAATATAAATAGAAATATTATACTAAAGGACATAAACGTGAAGTAAAGTTATGTACATTATATAGTAGTAAATATAGAAATGAAATTTCAAAAGTTTTTTAAACATAAGACTGATGTAAAAATGTAATACAAAATTTATCTCTTTTTAGCTGAATAAAAAAAGACATTGTAAATGTATTGTCTTTAAATACATTTATAAATAACTCTGATTTAAACTTTCTATTTTGGATATTTAATATGGTCATAAACAATGAAAAATATTCAAATTCATGATAACAGTACTCACACTGTGGGCACATATTCTCCTGGAAAACTATCTGTTGTATATGATATTAACATACACGTTTTTCCTACTGTTCCATCTCCTACCACCACACACTTGATTGGTCTACCTGAACTCATGTTTCTAAGACTGAAGTAACAAATACATTTTATTATTTTCTTATAAAAGTATCGTACGATTGAGTTAATAAAAAATTATTTAAATAATTTTATCATATTTGATGCAAAAAAAACATTAAAGATTAAATTTAAATAAAGAAAACCAGAAGTAACCGTCTATCGTATCAATTTTAATATTAAAGATTACAAGTTCTATCCTTAAAGAATTTCTAACTTAATTACTCGATAAAAACCAATTATTTTTAACTGATAACAAAGTAATTATAAATCATGCAACCTATAAAAAATACACCGTTATGTTTCAGGGAGGAGAAATATTTTTGTATTAAACGATATATGGAAAATATATTTTGTTCAACGTAACACGTTCTCGTAAAGTCATGCAAGTCTGTCAACTGATTCAAGTCAGACAAAATAATGCACGTTTTACATTTGAAGGTTAGTCGTAAAAGTATTGTAGTTCTGACTTAATTGAAGGGCTCGCCCTTCAATTTTGGTTTATTTGTTCAATATATAATTGGTAAACAAGTATAATCGGTTATCATTCGATCACTCACCAAATATGAACAAACGTTCGATTAGTAAAAAAAGAACACTTCTTTAACGCGATTTCAGATATATATATATGTATATATATATATTAGTTTTTCTTCAAAAAATTAGAAAACCGGGTGCCATGACGGTATTGCGGTTTTTGGAACTAAAACGGACGTAGCCTTCGCTTGGTGACAGATGTTCGACAATACTCTTCTTTCCCCTTCTACACGAAACAATTATTATTCAGAAATGATAAATGGCGACATCTGTCGAAGTAAGTATTTTTGATGTTCTATGTTTCATTGATATCAAGATGTGATATTAAACGTGTAATAATATCAAAAATATTATGAAACTAATCGTGTACAATTAATTTTCTCGTCATCATAAATCAATTTCCAAAAGTGTTATTGTATATTATGATCAATGTTTTTATAATAAATTTATATATTTTGTAGTAAGCTTTTTATTAAATTTACACGAATATAGAAATAAATCTCTATAAAGTTAAAATTATCATTGTTATTTAATATTTAAGAATGTGTTTCGATTAATTGTTTCGAAAGCATTCTAACAATTATTATGTGGATCAGCATTTAGCATTTCATTTGATTGGTTATTGAGAATCAGAGTTAATAAAAACATGTAGATAGTACATTTGTTTTTATTTGATTGAAACAAAATATTTTTGTATTATACTAAGCATTATGTACTATTGTTTTTAGGAAGTATAATAATATTATTAAAACACATTTAAAAAACTTTTATATCAAAATGATAAATTTAATTTCATCAAGAAATAATGTTTTCATATGGACTGCAGAAGGTAATTTATTTAATTTTTATTTAAAAACACATTGTATTATGAACATGTAAATTTACACCATTGTTAATTATTTTTATTTTCTAGATTGGTTGAAACTTCGTAGAGATCATAGAATAATTGGTGAATTAATAGGTTGCCTTCCAAAGAAACCTAGGCAAGATGTACTGTCAGGTCTTCCGTTACTTTTACAATCAGAAGAAGTATCTCTTTTGCTTGAAAAAAACATAGCCCAACTTATCTGTTATCCATCTCTTCAAAAACCACCAACTGAATCATTGAAACTAGCTTTTGAGGAATATAGAAATACATTATTTATAGAACAAGAAGAGTGTTTAAGGAATGAAAGAAAAAAACAGGTTTAAAAAATAATCTCTTACATTTTATTTTCAATTTTTAAATCCTGGAATATTTTAAAAATTTTCTTTAAAATAATAGGTAGTCAGTATGATGGATAAGATTGTAGAGGGGAAGAAACGAAAGATACTTGGAATACAAACAAGGAAAAAGAAAGCAAGGAAACCATTAGATCCAGAAATACAAGAAGCCCTTAATAGCATTAAGATAAATAGACAACAGTTGCTAGAAGAAGAAATGGCAAAACTGCCTCAATTAGATAAGACTGAAGCTCTAATTCAAACTCATACAGGTATGTATATTTATAGTGATGATAAATGAAAAAAATAGAAATTAAATCATTTTTAACAGATTAAATTTGAAATTATTCATTCATCTAAATATTACTTCTTTTTGTATGCTGTAAGTCACATAAACATTCATGGTTAATAATAATATATGAAATAACAAAATGTATTTTAAAATATATTTTTCACAAGAAAAATTTTATTCGAACATAAATGTGCATGTTTTAGTGCATCCATGGGTTGATGAAGGTGAAACTGAAGTAGTAGAATGGAAATATCCTTGTAACGCTAAAGAACAACTTCGATATTGTACATACAAGGATCTATGGGAGAAGGGATATTTCATAACAAGTGGGGAAAAATTCGGAGGAGATTTTTTAGTATACCCTGGTATGCAATATGTTATTTATTATTTAAATATTACTTAAAACAAAAGTGAAGTTATTACAAGTTCCTAAATTTGCAGGGGATCCTATCATGTTTCATTCACAATTTATAATTCATTGCAAAGACAGAAATGAAGAAATTCCAATAATTGAACTTTCAGCTCAATGTCGTATTGCATGGCATGTTCGAAAAACAAGAGTATATGCATTTTTTTCTAAAGACCAAGAATGTATTCTATATGAATCATTTCAATGGGCAGAAAGTAAAGTACTTGAAAATGGATAGCATTTACCATAAATATTTTAAAATTTTATAAAAAAAACTAAAAGCCAAGGATTCCTCTACTTTTTTATTATTTTATATATTTATCTTTACTACATAAAAGATATAAAATTTAATTAAGTGATTTTAAACAGTATCGATTAATACAAATTTATCATGAAGCTTATTAGGGATAACATTAAAATATTTCTTATATATAACACTACCTGTTCTACCTTCATAGTATTTTACAGCCCAGGAACGATTGAAGTTTGGATTAATTTTTTCACATGTAACCATTACTCTTCCAGGTTCTAAAGCATATAATGTTCCATTTTTTCCCAAACCAACCTACAAATTAATCATATATTTGTTACAAATTTGTATAGTTTAATAAATATGTATGATATCTGTAATACATATTATACAAACACAATTAGACTTACGTAAAGCCCTGGGTGAAACCTAGGTTTAAGTTGAGTGGCTAATATACAACCCTTTTGTACATACCATCCATCTTGAACTCTCCATCCTCTATGTTTTGGTCTTGTATGACAAGGTTTATTTCTTGTACTACCACTGGCTTTCTTTGATGCATACCTCATACATACTACTAACCAATTTTTATATTAAAACAAATTGATAGTATGAAATACCTTAGAAAAATAATATTTGGTGTTTACATACCTAAATTAGTGATGGTATTATTTATAAAGGGTTTAGCATTTTGCAAAGTGTTACTAAGTAAATTTGTTAACAGAGACATCTAAAATACAATTATTTAAATTACAATATGCTATGTATATGACTGTATATTTCGTTTTCTTATAATGTAATTAATATATCAGATAATATTTAAGTTTTTTTAATATAACCTTTAAAGAATAATTTACACTTTCACAAGGTCATTGAATATTTGTATATTAAACTTAATATAATTCAATAAGTGATCAATGACGTTTTTAATTTAATATTTATTTGTATTATGTTAAATTTATATCTATACATAGAACACAATGGAGCAAGGTATGACTACTCTTAACAAAATTTCAAATTAGTTTAAGCTTATGTACCTTGACATGAAGAGGCGCTTTATTTTTGTAGAAATTACAGTACCCTGCATCGACATGCGAAAAACTCCATTACGAGAGGTCTCTCGCTGTGTGTTTTGTTTATAGTTTTGATTGGTTGGTGCAACTACATTTATGAAAGCGAAGATACGATTTTAAATATATTTTTACCTTACATAGTCATACATAAATAATTAAATTACTATCATTAATTTCAGTAATACTATTAGTAAGTATAAGTAACACACACCAGTGTAAAGAGAAAAATAGATTTCATGTTTTTTACGAAACTAAAAATATATTTTTTTTTATATTTTTATTTAACTGCAAATCTACTATGAAATTCAGAATCATTATCAAAATATTAGTGTATAATTTCATTGGATTATTTTATTAAAATCACATATTTATTTTATATACATCATTAGTATATTTAATTTGATTGTATTTGATATTCTTTCATTGCTATTGGATATTTTTGCAATTATAAATTCTAAATCCAAAATCGATAATGATTTTTCTAGAAGGCAGTAGAAAACGGTGTTTCGTTGATGATTTTTCAACCAATTGGAAGGAAAAATACAAGAAGTTAACCAATCAAAAGTAGTATCAGACTTGACCCTACAAGGAAGTAAGAACGATAGACGTCGCTGATCATCATAATTATTATTATTATTAGTCACACGCGGATCTCTTCTTGGTAGCTGTACTTTTGTCGGCAATCGAAGGCTTTCAATTGTCGTTCTGTTGTAATATTGTGTAAAAGAAGAAAAATTGATAAAAATGTCGACCATGGCGAGTCCTTTAGTCGTAGGAGGTGTTCGACAATCCGGAGCACCAGTAAGAACACAAAATGGTATGTTTACAATAATAAAATTAGGTTATAATATACATTAAGTCAACTCGCCGACGTTTACTTCAAATAAAATTTTCAAAATGATTTTCATTAAATTTACTACTTTTCAATTTTACATTATTCGAAATTATTATTATTCAATAGTTTACAATCATATTAAGGAAAATAACATTTTGGGTACATGTGATCTCAATTCGGTTCGATGACTACTACAATGTAAATTAAGTCAATTTTAAAAGAATATAATAAATTAATACTCCAAATTTAGTTTCAATATTGTTTTCTGATAAATTTATAATTAAATTAAATTAAATTAAATTTTATATATTCCTTTGTGTTATAGTTATGGCTGCTTGTGCCATTGCTAATGTGGTGAAGAGTTCGTTGGGTCCTGTTGGTTTAGACAAGATGCTTGTGGATGACATTGGTGTATGCAATTTTAATCACATTTTATACAACATATAGATTTAATTATATACATTTACATAAAAAGCCTTACTTGTTTTAAAATGATATTATAGGATGTGACTGTTACTAATGATGGAGCCACTATCTTACGTTTGCTTGAAGTTGAACATCCAGCTGCAAGAATATTAGTTGAATTAGCTCAACTACAAGACGAAGAAGTTGGGGATGGTACTACATCAGTTGTAAGTTTATTTGGATTAGTTTTTATATATAAATCTGAGAAAAAATATAAAGAAGATTAACAGGAATAATTAAAACAGGTAATAGTGGCAGCTGAGTTATTAAAAAATGCTGATGAACTTATAAAACAAAAAATTCATCCAACTTCTGTAATTAGTGGTTACAGACTTGCTTGCAAGTAAGTTATTATTTGTATGCAACAAATGTGTATGATGTAAGTTATTTAATATCCTCATTGTTTATATTTCAGAGAAGCTTGCAAATATATTCAGGAGAATTTAACATTTACAGTCACAGAATTGTCACGAGACTGTATAGTTAACGTGGCAAAGACATCTATGTCTAGTAAAATCATTGGAGCGTATCCTTTTTTCTTTTGGATAATCGTAAATTTAAAAAATTATAAATTTACAAATCTTTATTATTATTCCTTAATTTATTTATAGTGATGCTGATTTCTTTGGAAATATGGTTGTGTCTGCTGCAATTGCGGTAAAGGTTAATGATGGGAAAGGTGGATTTTTATACCCTATAAAAGCAGTGAATGTTTTAAAAGCTCATGGAAAGAGTGTTAGAGAATCTGTATTAGTGCAAGGCTATGCACTAAATTGTACTGTAGCTTCGCAGGCTATGACGAAAAGAGTAACAAATGCAAAAATTGCGTGTCTAGACTTTTCTTTGCAAAGGACAAAAATGAAATTGGGCGTGGAAGTATTAATTACAGACCCAGAAAAACTTGAAGCGGTCCGTCAACGTGAAGCAGATATTACAAAGGAACGTATTCAGAAGATTCTTTCTGCTGGCACAAATGTTGTTCTTGTATCTGGAGGAATCGATGATCTCTGTTTAAAGGTACATTTAAGTTATTAAAATGAAGACATTTAACGAAAGAATAAATTTGATATGAAACTTATATAATTGTACACTTTATAGTATTTCATTGAAGCGAAAGCAATGGCAGTCCGCAGATGTAAAAAAGCAGATCTGAAGAGAATAGCAAAAGCTACAGGTGCACAGTTTCTTACTTCTTTAACTAACATGGAGGGAGAAGAAAGTTTTGATTCCAGTTTTCTTGGGGAGGCAGCTGAAGTAGTACAGGAAATGGTTTGCGACGATGAACTTATTCTTATTAAAGGGTTTGTTTTGATTTAAAACATTGTTTATATTCTGTAATATTTAGAAAGTAACAGTGTAAAAGGCACTGTTCATATTACTTTTAACAGACCAAAAGCAAGGACAGCCAGTTCTCTTATTCTGCGTGGACCTAATGATTACTATTGCGATGAAATGGAACGTTCTGTGCATGATGCATTATGCGCTGTTAAGCGAGTTCTAGAAAGCAAGTCCGTTGTTGCAGGTGGTGGTGCCGTTGAGACAGCACTTTCTCTATATTTGGAAAATTTTGCGACATCTCTCGTAAGTTGATTTTGTAATGAAAAATGATAACATAAAAAATGACTTTAGACTATAGCCAGTATTATTTTGTAGAGTTCTCGAGAACAGCTGGCAATTGCTGAATTTGCGAGGTCACTTTTAGTTATTCCAAAAACACTAGCAGTTAATGCAGCACAAGATGCTACTGAATTAGTAGCCAAATTACGTGCTTACCATCATACCAGTCAGACAAAAGCAGATCTTGATGATTTGAAATGGTATTTTCTTTGATCGCGTTAATATATTTTAAAGGAAGTAAATATTTACAAATAATATAATACTTTCTTGTTTTATACAGGGTTGGTCTTGACTTACTCAAGGGTACTATCAGACAGAATGATAGAGCCGGAGTATTAGAACCAGCAATTTCGAAAATAAAATCTTTAAAATTCGCCACAGAAGCGGCAATAACTATTCTTAGAATTGACGATATGATCAAGTTGGATCCAGATCGCACCAAGGATAAATCGTATCGCGAAGCGATGGAATCTGGTGAACTAGAAGAATAAAATTTAATTGCATTTACGTCCATCTTTCTTATACGATTCGTTCTGGAGCGCAGATTCCAAATACTTTTACAATGTGTACTATTTCATAATTTCGCGATAAACTAAACATTACACATTAAGGACTTCACATATTAACGTTAAAATTTGTATTACATATGATGCTGTATGTCTTATAAATAATGCTGCACGAAGTAAATAAAATAAAGCTTTAAATATAAACATATTTTGCTTGTATTTTTATATAATCCTGGAAAAAATATGAAAGTACATCAAGTCATTTTTAAAGCAATTTATTAATAATTTTTAAATTATTCATATAATTACGTCATAAATATTTTCTCAAGTTTAAAGTGCAATTTTTAACTATACGTTACACGTATATCGAAATCCGAAAAATTGCACTTCACGAAATGGAAACCTTGGTATCAACTTAATTATAATTTTGAATAATGTCAATTTAATCATCTTATAATATACATAACTAAATTCACAAAAAATATGTAAAAGAAATTAATTATAAATTAAATAATTTTATCGTGTGACACTAAAAAGCACATATATTAAAACAATGGATAATGTGTTTGTTGTAGGAAACATATTTAATCTACAAACATATAAATTCACGTATGCTATACGTGATAGAAAAAAATGTTATGTATAGTTAATATTTTTGAAATATTGTTAAAATAACTTAGTAATCCCGATGCAGTGTAACAGTTTATTAATGGAAAATAATGGATTAACATTTTTAAGTATTATGTGATATGTACTTTAGGGTTTAAGTTTTAAACAGAATATTTCAGAAACTTTTCATTTATTTTATAAACAACTGTGTACTGATTAATGAATAATGAAACCTATTTACAATCAGGCATTTCACAGATGTTATAGCAGTCGACTTTTTTATGACACACCCTTTGATAGGGGTATATGCGTAATGATAACGTACGTGCTTACTGTGCATGTATATTTACAATGCAATATGATTGCTTTTGAGAAATTTCTGACATGTCAATTTGATAAAATATAGTACTTCTCTTTATAATACGATTCAACATTCCTGTATTCCATGAAACAGGCATACATATATAACAATAAATTACTAAACATTTTTTTCGTAGTCGGACTAATTAAGTTACGAACCACAATCTTATTTTCTTTTAGAAAATAGTATGGTCAAACAATTTTTATCTTTTTACACGATTAATAGATCTTCTTTCGGGTATGATAAAAAAAATGTATGAGAAGAATTGAAACAATAGTTGAAACTATCACGTCACAATAAAGTTCTTTGGAATGTTATTCGTAATGTAAATATAAATTACGATAGGTCATAAATTTTCAATGATATTTATATGAAAAGTAACTATACAGACCATGCCGAGCGTACATAAAAATATAGCATTCATGTAGATCTGAAAAATAACTTAATCACTTTGATACTCCTAAAGTATGACTGCAATACATAAAATTATCATCCATAAAATATTCTCTTGATTCTTCCATTAATAATTGTTTACAGTATCATTTGATGTGTAGTAAGTACGCTAATAAGAAAATTATATCGTATCCAATTTGTTGAAATTTTAAAATAAAATACATAGATTTTAATTATAAATGATCTTATTTTATGAAACTTTAACAGAATTCCCTTTTATTAAATTTCATAAATTATTTTATAAATTTATTAGTAATTTTGGACCATCCTGCAATACGGACTCAAGAACTTTCTTTGTAAATAGTAGGATATAAAATATGTTTTCACTACACGTTAATATTATATACAAACCCTGTTAGGATTGATAATAAATTTAATAAAGACAATCGATCTTTTCCCATGCAGAAGTAAAAAATTATGTATCTTTCAATAGTAAATTCTTATACGTATAATTGAATTTTTTCAGTGCATTATAAATGCAGAAGGTCCAAAATAATTCTGCCCTGATTTATACAAAACGTATACATTCCTTAATCAGGAATTAAAAACTTGATTTACAAAATTCTTTTATCTTAATAGATATCTCATATTTCTTCTGTCAGTAGATTTGCAGATTATTTTACAATTTATCTATCAAAAGAATTTAGATAAACCGCTTTGTTTTCTGTGTAATTCGAAGTATAACTACAATAATCCTTTTCTTCCTTATTTGATCACTGTTAGTAGTAAACGTAAGGTATGAAATACCTAACACTCTTATAATGCAGGATTCTCGAATTTTGGTCCTTTATTGACTACAATTTCAGCGTATGGGTATTCTTGATAGAGCTCTGTTACTTGAAATTTTTTAAGGACTAACAGAGTATAGAACTTTTGTGCAACCTGAAAAAAATATTATCAATAATATAAATACATGTATCACAAAATACTTTTAAAGTTATACCTGTAAATACAAACCTGTTTGCGATTATTTTTGTATGCCATTTCTGATAACGTCAACCTATCTTTGGTATCCAGTTTATTCTTAATAACATGATACATGTGTGCTGCTCTTTTATTAAGAACTCGTTCTTCGAACTGTTCGTATGTTTCATCCACTTGCTGTTCTTCCTGCTATAGAACAAACAAAATTAGGATTACCGCTCTACATACAAACTTTTTTCGTACACCATTTTGACCTTCAGGTACGAACTTAATTTCGGGAAATAAACCATGATGCTTTTGTAATCTCGAGTTATAATATAATGGAAAATTGGATTTCGACATACGAACTTCAGACTAGGACGAGTTAAATTCGTAAATTGAGGTCCCATTGTAAATAATATAATGTACATACAGGGCCTACAGATGGTGGAAATTCATAATCCTCATGGTTCCATGGAGTTGCTGGCCCTCTTTCTGATATAGCAGGTGTTGTAGGTGCTGGGGGATGTTCATCGTATCCCATGTATGGTACAATAGGTTGAGCCTATGACAAATGTAAGTGTGAATTAAATATAATGTATAATACAGTGGTATATATTTATTTAAAAAATGTATAACTTACTTGATCATAGCCCATATTTTCCATTTGAGGCATTTCAGTGGGTGGTGCTATTGGAAGTTCTGATTCTGTTGGGGTAGGTGGAACAACTGGTTCTTCAGGTGGAACGATGGATTCAGTTGGAGGTATTTCGGGCACGTGTGGAGAAATTAAAGGTACTTCGGGAGGTACTGACGGAACTATTTCTGCTTCTTCGACAAGAGGCACCATACCACTGATTTCAGGAACTGATGGTTCCGCAGGTAAAGATACCTCAGGAAGAGGTACTGGTGATTCTGCGAGAGGTGGGGGAACTATACTTGGGACTTCTACGGCTTCAGGTGCTACTTCTACTGGTGGAGGTGCTGGTGCTGGAGGTGGCGGCCTTATCTGAAAAACAGAATGTATAAATGATAAAAATTTGTAATTAACGCTTATGTAAATGTGAATTAAAGAAGATATTAAAATTTAACATACCTCTTCTTCAAATGGTATTTTTCGTTTTCGAGATAACCGTTTACTTAAAATACTTTGTTCAAATGTGTCCGGTTCTACTGGTTCCCTCATTTGTTCTAAAGGCATACCTTCTTCTTCACCTACTAAGCGTCCAAAGTCCTCGTGATCATAAGACTTGCTTGTAAGATGTCGTTGATAATTCTATTTCGATAGAATATAAAATGTTAAATATCATCTTAACTTTATCCTTTTTCTATACGCAATAAACTTTCAAATGTAACATAACATTTAAAATATAAGACATTTCTGTTACCTTAAATAATACACGTGCTGGTATTGGTCTTCCTGGTAAAGCAAATAATTTTTCAACTCCACCTGTTTCTTTCCAATGCATTAGTCTTTTTGTTGGAGGCGCCAGATCTAATGTGGTTATAATATCGCTGGTGTCTGATAGTTGTGCTTTCATTTCTTCGCCAGAAATATTTTTTACTTCATCGACAATAAGTTTACGTTTACGTTTTGCTTTTGTGAACCCTAGAATATCATTAATATTATAATAACAATTGCGATAATTGATATTAAAAGTGGTACAAATACATTGTATCCTATTTCACCTTTCAAAGCAGACGTATCAACCGGTGCAAGAGCGAAACTTTCTTCCTCATCATGTAGTAATGTGGTTTGATCTTGTAGAGGTGGGGCTTCTTCAATTGCTTCCATTGGACGTTCTTCAGGAATGGTGGATGGAGCAGGAGTAAAACGACGACTTGCAACACTAATTCTTCCTTCAATTTCTTCTCCAATTACAGCTGGAGAGACAGGTCTGGAGTCATCACTATCGCATGAAAAGCAAATTTATTTTATAGATATTTACTATAGTAAACATCTTAAAAATAAATGTATGACTTCATATCGTAAAAATGTTTAACAATATAAAAAATTAACTACCTCATTCCTCCTAGAGGAGATGGAGGCCCCATTTCTTCCTCAGATTCTTCATGAACCGAAGGTGCAGCTCCAGGTACTACTGGTTCTTGTGGTTCTGCCACAGCACTAACTTCAGGTACAGGTACTTCACCCATTGGTGCTTCGTCAAATAAACCACCTTCAAATAGACCACCAGCTAAAAAGAGTAAGAAATAATTGTCATATATAATTGGTATAATAATTCTTTCTAGAGATGTTCATATTATTTACATATGATATCTTGACCAAGATGTCCACCAAAACCATCATCCCTAATAGGCATATCTATATCCATAGCTTGCGCTGTTACCGATGGACCTGGAACTGGTTCTTTTTCCTTTTGATCTAAAGCTGCTTCGATTCCTGGTCCATCAGTGAATAACATATGGGTCTGGAACATAAATATAAAATTTAGTTTTTATAATTAATGCTTGTTTCTACAAAAGGGAAAGAAAATAAAACATACCTGATCTAATGATGGTTCTACAGCACCAGCATGTCTTAATAATTCTGGTGGTTCCGCATCAAAACTCATATCACCAAATCCTTGGTCATGCGTTACTAAAGCTAAGCTGCCATAATCTTCCCTCATAGTTATTTCTTCTGCTCGTGACTGATTTAAACTAAACTGTGCTTCAATATCAACATCTCTGAAATAGAACATACATTGAAATGAATATTAACAATTACCATTTACAAGATTACATATCACCTGATTATATATTTACTTTAATTCTGGCATCGCAGTATCAAAATCATGAAAAACTTCAGGTAATGTTATCGCTGTTACAGCAGCCTCTCTGTGCTCTTCTGGTAAGTCTACCATGCCTGGTCTAAAGGCCATTTTAATTTTTACAAAAGCTTCATTACAGTCAGCTAAGAGATATTTAGCTTTCCGAGAATATATCCGTACCACACCCAATAACAAATGTCCAGATGTTCTTAAAGCCATTTTCACCTACATTGATATAATATAATACAGCATAAGTATAAATATAAACTTATAACTTTAACTTATCATTTAATTATAACCTTCAGTTGAGAATAATATATGATTTTTAATTCGATGGAAACTTAATAACATTAAATAATTTATGCAATTGAAAGTAGATTGAAACATTAGAATATCTTTTTTAAAATTTGTAACACAAGTAACTAAGTT